CCTGGCGTCGTTTGAAGATGGTCGAACACCTTTTGTTGAAAATCCTCAGACGGATAATAGTGTCCAAATTCCAAAAGATGGTGACTTCGCATTCTTCGCGGTCGTTGTCAACGGTACGGCAATCGGCCTCACTCATTTGAACGCGACAAAAGATCCCGAGCATCCTAACAAAGTCCTCCTTGCCACACCCAGTGGCAACTATAGCACGGATCCATTCGCCGTTTCTGAAGGCGATAACGGAACGACATTTACAGCTCCGTTTGGACGCGCAGCTCAATTGCTACGGATTTCTCAAAATAATAGAACAGGAGTCTTTTTCAAAACCCCAACTGGGAGCATCGCCTTGGTTGATGCTCGCACGCTTGTTCCCTCTCAACGGCTGATTCAGCGAATTCATGATCATTTTGTGAACATCGTTGAATCCATCAAGAAGGGATTGAGCCGCGTCTACAACAAAATCAACACACTGTTCAAACACTCTTCTTGTAAGGCCAAAAAATCGAGGTCCACTAATTCCTTGTTTCTCTGCAGCTGGAGATGTCGCGGACCAAAGCTCAACAAACATTACTCTCCACGAATTTGTCGTCGTCAACGCCACGACAGCTTCGACTCCTGCAGAATGATTCAATAGAAACTGCTTCAGTGATGAGAAAATTGAATTACTGTTGGTTATTGAGCGTATGTTTTAACATGTGCCTCTCCACCCTCACTTGAACGTTAGCAAACGAACTTCCCAGCGTTTTCCTGATTCATCGAAATGACGAAACTCTCCGTTTAGCCATTTGACATGAATTCGGTTTTATTTTTTCAAGCTGCTTCGTCAGCGGTTGAATCGAAGCGTTCTTAGAACTAAAAAACGTCCAAAAGCGACAAGACATCACGAAAAATAGCACAGTGAACATTTTTTCCCTGGACTGTGGGTGGTTTTGCAAACTGAAGCTCTTCCTCCTTTCAGACTTGGTTTGTGGCGTTGATATTCTGACGTTCGGTGTTCTGTTTTCCCCCGACTCAGTTGTAGGTGGTTGTGCAGGCTGAAGCTCTTCCTCCTTTCAGACTTGGTTTGTGGCGTTCGGTGTTCTGTCGACTTGGTTTCTGGCGTTGGGTATTCTGACATTGTGTGTTTTGACGTTCGGTGTTCTGTTTTCCCCCGACTCAGTTGTAGGTGGTTGTGCAGGCTGAAGCTCTTCCTCCTTTCAGACTTGGTTTCTGACGTTCGGTGTTCTGTCGACTTGGTTTCTGGCGTTGGGAGGTCTGGCATTGGGTGTTCGACAGCCGAGCGTTCGTTTGTACTGACCGGCGATAATCCCCTTTTAGAGCGTCCTAGACACAAGTCAGTAAAAGAAAAGCCATTTGCGGTGATTTCGCCCTCCTGAGAATATTCGGCTTGATGGAAAAATACTGGCGCAGACAGAAGGGAAATGGCGGAAAGAAATTTCGTGTTTTGGTTTGGGGGCATCGTTGAAACAGGTGTGTTCTTATGGGGGTCCCATGCAAAATAGCGAACATGCGAGTTGGCACTCTAAATGCTTCAATGCCGCTGGTGATGTATTGGTGTGATGCATCGTGTAGCGTCAGATTAATTTAATCTAGGATCAAACAGAGTGTAAACCACAACGAACTGAACGAATCAAGATCAGCCAATGCCTGGAACACCTGCAACACGCTGTCCCAATTCCTCTGGGATTGGTTGTGGATCGTGTTGTTGATCTTATTGCAGGTCTGCGTGTCTTGCCCTTCTTCGTCTTAAGTTCTTCTAATTGCCAAACAAGGGCTTTCCTGCTCGTCTGGTTTTTTACCCACATGCGCAGGTTCATCACCTCTGTTGTTAATATTCATTATTTTTGAGGCTTTTCGGGTACGCGGTTCAACACGGGTCAAATGTTTTCATTATGTTTGCATCATTCGTGCATTTATTTCTTTTGTGTCCTGCTTCTTTTCAGAATATTTCAAATCAATGTCCATCTCGAAACGAATTCAGAAGGAAACGCAAAGTTTGGCCTCCGATGCCCGTGAGATCTTATTCCCATTTCCGATTAGTTGTCACCTTCAATTTCAGCTCCCGGTATCAGCGCTCATCCTGACGCCAACAACCACCGTTACTTTCATATAATGATGACGGGACCTTCTGGCACCCCCTATGACGGGGGTCTCTATCGTCTCGAGTTGTTCTTGCCTGATCAGTATCCGATGGAGCCTCCAAAAGTTCGCTTCTTAACAAAGATTTATCATCCCAATATCGTACGTGCATCAGTCGGTTGATCATACTCGCTATTTCAGGATAAGCTCGGTAGAATTTGTTTGGATATCTTGAAGGGAAAATTGGTCTCCAGCCCTTCAAATTAGGACTGTTCTTCTCTCCATTCAAGCACTGCTCGCCGCCCCTGAACCGGACGACCCTTTGGACACTTCCGTCGCAGAGCATTTCAAAGCGGATAGAAACGGGTTCGAACAAAAGGGTGAGAAGTAATTCATTCTAATTGAGAATTCATTATAAGCTTGAGAATTCATTATAAGATTGAGAATTCATTATGAGATTGAGAATTCATTATAAGAGTGAATTAAGGTACACCATTTTTCTCAGCCCGCGAATGGAACAGAGAGTACGCTTCCTCCTAAATCCCTCTATCGATACACGCAAACCCTTTTGTTACAAACTTGCGAACCAGTTCTAAAAATCTGTGTTCCGGAAAAATGATATTTCTGTTTTTCTGGTTCGAGTAAGATCACCCAACGTCACCAATTAACAATCGCCTTCTAATTCGCAAGGTGTGGGGGGAAAGTTTTTTTTTGCACCAAGTGAACCCTCCTTTGCAGCAATGTTTGCGGCGGAGCTTCTAATGGGTGGAAATCCGTTGACCGGAGCGGTTGGTGGTTTGGCGTGCTGTGCAGCCCTTGGAGCAACGCTCTACGCGATGAGGAAGAAAATTCCGCATCCAACCGAATTCGCATGCATTGGTAACCGACCACCTTGAGTCCTAGTGAAAACGGCTCCACTGCAGGATGTTGTTGTCTTCGGGGTGGATGTCACAAGCATGAAGCCTTGAATCTGATTATTGAAGTCCATGAAGCGTCAAATATTCCGCCTGGATCTGATGTTTACTTTTACGCTGAAGCTGGTCGTTTCGACTGTCAAACAGGAAGTGAGAGATTGTCCACAGGAAATTGTGAAACTGCGGATGGTTCAGATTGTCCTGTGGATAAGAAGAAGAAGACGGCCGGAATTTTTTGAAAGATGTAATTTACACGTTCGGCAAGTGATCTCATGAAGAGTCGAAAAAATCATCGAAATTTTCAGTCAGATGGAGGACAGCATCACTTTAACGCTGTATAGATCTGTGGGTATTTCTATGGATAAGAATTGATTGAGTCTGCGTAGGGGACACTCACAAGCACACTTCTGGGAGAAGCAAATATTGACGTCAAGGAAGAAATTATTGGAAAGAGCTTTCCTCAGCTTGAGTGGTAATAAGACTCTTGAAAACGATGACAATATATCTCTATATCTTTGTTAGGTATACGCTGAAAAAAGAGCAGAAAGCCACCGTGAAAGTTCAGTTGTCTTTTCATAAACGTGAGTTACAGAACTCACATTATCACAATGATTTGATTGTGTGTCCAGTCCCAATGACACATACGGACTCCCCCTCCCCTCTAGTCGAGTATGCACTGATTAGAGCCACAAGAGAAGCTCTAAGGAAGGGACAGTCGATGACAATTGTAGGATGAACGCCCATTGACTTTTAGTAAAATCGCTTTCAGGATATCAATACGATGGATGATGAAACAAAGCTTCGGTTCATCGCGAAAGTTTTGGAAGGTCCACTACGCGTCATGGGAGGATTCGGTGAGATAAGTTGGAGTCACGTCGTTGCAATGAATTTCTCTTAGATTGGAAAGAACTTTATTTTCGTGCTGTTGAAGGGAGAAACTGTGAGTTGGAATCGAAAATAGGAAATAGACAGACTTTGTCAAGATCGATGGGTTTGGCGTTATTGGACGAATGAGGCGGCGATGAAAAACAGTATGAATGATTTTGTAAACAACTCGATGAGTGAAATTTGTAGAGAAAAAGCCGATAAAGGAAATACCGTTCCTGGCGATCTGTTCCGTCAATCCGGACAAGAACGACCGACTTCAATTTTTGGTTGAATGGTACACGAGGGATGGTGCGAATGACAAATTAATTAGATAATCGTTGTTGCTATATCTCATCTCCTCGAATTAGGAAAGCAACAACTTTTATGTAGTCGAGTTGATCGCGATAGGGATCTCTGGTCTGATGGATTGTACGAATTCATAGAGAAAGTAGGATCCTTCTTTTATCACGTTGATCATGTCGCTTCCGTAGTATCGACAGTTTCTAGTGGATCATCCGCAAAACACTGAAAATTGAACATCATGAGACGAAAGACCCTCAAGAAGCGACTGCCGGTAAGAGATGAGCGTGTCGTTGTTATTTAAATGTTACTTCAGTTGATCGAGAATATATTTTCCGTCGCGGGGAGACGTCTACTGATGGGTCCTGGAAGTCCAGATTTCAGGGTGGGTTGAAGACGCCCTTCGAATCGACTTTTTTTTTCTCAGACGTCCAGACCTTCGCGACGGTTACCGCTCTCATTTGCGAAAATGGTGGAAGATGCGATGGATGGGTACAAAGACTTTGGAGAACTAGAAGATGATGAGAAGTGCGCAGTGGAATGTTCAGATGACAGGAACGTCTGATCGAACAGGAGGGGGTCATAACAACCCCGAAGTGATATTTTTTCTGTCTTTTTTGATTGAGAGTCTGTCACACCATTTCAGTCGTTCAGCTATTTACAGATTTACAGAGTGGGGGACTAAAGACGAATGGAAACGTCAGGGACTGCGAGTGGCGTCTCTCAATCAGACGAGGTGACAACAGCGCAACCTGAGGTAAACTCACACAGACATGATACTGCAGCAACTCAGCAATCGGTAAGAAAAAAAGCAGATGAGTGACTCTTTCATTTTAGAATTTGATGGCGGCGGGTGGTCTCGCTGGTACGGCACAGCCCGCTTCATCATCGTTTCATCCTCAAGCTGAAGAAGTATATCAGTTCATTCTCGACCTAACAATTTCATCAAAGAGAGAAAGAGCTCTTCTTGAACTGAGTCGTCGACGTGAAAGTTTTCCTGATCTCGCTCCTATTTTGTGGCATTCATTCGGTGTTGTTACTTCTGTTATTCAAGAAATCATCTCTATTTAGTGAGTCATTTGATTATACTTGATTGATTTCTTTTCCAGCCCTCAGCTTTCTCCCCCCACTTTGACTTCTATCGCGTCAAATCGTGTTTGTAATGCTCTCGCACTCTTGCAATGTGTCGCCTCTCACCCAGATACGAGGCACCATTTCCTCAACGGTAATTCATCACTGAAGTTTTTAACAGGTTCATTTCTCTTTTTCCAGCGCACATTCCGCTTTTTCTCTATCCATTTCTGAATACCGTTTCCGTTTCTCGTCCGTTCGAGTATTTACGGTTAACGAGTTTAGGCGTGATCGGTGCCCTTGTCAAAGTCGATGATCATGAAGTCATCGGATTTCTTCTTCAAACTGAAATTATTTCATTATGTTTGAGAATCATGGAAATGGGAAGTGAATTATCGAAAACAGTAAGATGATTCTGAATCACTCAATCCGGTCAAAACACGCTTTTCTCAGGTTGCAACATTTATCGTGCAAAAAATCTTGCTCGATGAACTTGGCTTGCGCTACGTTTTGTGCGACGGCAGAACGCTTTTACGCTCTTAGCAGCGTTTTGGGAGGAATGGTTCAGAATCTGATTGAGCAACCCTCGCCTAGATTGATCAAACACATCATCAAGTGCTATTTGCGGCTCGCCGATAACCCGCGGGCAAGAGAGGCTCTGAAGAGGTGTTTGCCTGAAGCTCTCAGGTGTGTTATCGTTATTGTTTGTTCTCAATACGTGTGTTCTTCTTCAGGCACAGTCTTCTACTTAATATCATAAAAGATGATCCCACGACAAAACAAAATATCGCTACATTAGTTGATCTGGTTGACAACACGCCAGCTGGGCAGTTATTTGAGATCTCATCTGCTACTGATTTATTGACACAAGTGAGACCGCGGGAAAACCCAGTGGAATAAGATAGCTCCTCACATATTTGTTTCCTATATCCAGGCACAGAAACAACAGAAGCTTCAACAGCACCAATTGCAGCAAACGTTCCAGGGAGTCAGTTTGGGAAGTACTCTGCAACCGAATCAAACGGCTGCGTTCCAGCAACCAAGATTGCAACAGACACTTCAAACGCAACCACTTTCAGGTCCCTCACTTTTGGGAGGATCCAGTGGCCTCGACGGTGCGATGCCTGGCCAATAGATCTGTCTGATTTCTGTAATGATGAGAGTGAAGCTCATGAACAGATCTTGTCCTTTTTGCTTGAAGCAATCAAAGAACATCTTGATCTTCCAAATGAAGAAAGGAATTTTATTTGCATGTTTGTTTGCTTCATTCCGAAATCAAGCAAATAGATATCATCTATTTGAACGTTTGCCAATTATTTCAACGCTCCCAACAATCTCTACTTTGGTTTTCGCCTTTGGGGAGAGATGTTCATTTTCCCTGCCGAGTCTCCAAGCTTAGGTGGTTGGACGGCAGCTTCGAAATAGCCTTCTCCACCACCAACGCTTTCAGGTGGCCTTTTATCTCCCTTTCCAAGAGTGAAAGGCCAATACCCAGCCTTTCGATAGTCCATCAATCTCCTCACTCCGCGCAGTCCCAAGAGGCCAGCTCCTCCAAAAATGAGGCCTAATTTCGCATTAATGGCCTCTGCACCGTAAACACTTACATGCAAGCCCAACAATCCCAATCGACTCCCAATCGTATTTCCCTTTGTTTTTCATCGGGAGTTCATAGTAGCGCCCAGTTTGTGGCTTTTCGGTTTCAATGGGAGCGCTTGGGGGTTTCCCCATAGTCACCTCTCTTGTGGCGGTTCTTTCTCAGCTCTGCTTCATCTTTCCCCTGGTGCTTTCTTCCGTGCTGATCGTTTGAACTGAAGAGGCGGAGGCCTTTCAGTTGAATCTGCCGTTTCTCTAAGAAGGGCGGCGGTCCTATCCAATGCTTCACGGAAGTTTGAATGAGTTTGGAGTAACGGCTCATCAAAAAATTTGGTCTATCCGTTTAATTGCATGCGTTGATCAAAATAAAAAAGCGGGTACGGCATCTGCCTAACAAAGTAGCGCATTAGAGCGACGTGTCAGTGAATTCCCTTGATATACACCCCTTGGACTGCTTGACAAAACCTTGAAATTCGTTTGGTTGTTCAGAACAGGTTCAGCGTCTCTTCTGTTGTCTGTTTCGCGCCCTCGCTGGCTGCACTGGCGTAGGTCCATTACAACTCTGTACAAGTCGGTTTGAGAAGCATGGAACGTTATCAAAAACTTGAAAAAATTGGTGAAGGCACTTACGGCATCGTCTACAAGGCACAGGACACCGCTGGCGGAATTTACGCTCTCAAGAAAATCCGATTGGAACAGGAAGATGAAGGAATCCCGTCGACAGCGATTCGTGAAATTTCCCTTTTGAAAGAATTACAACATCCAAATATTGTGAAGTACGATTTGAGCGCTTTTTGTCTTCATTCTGGATTTTGTGCTTTTCGGCACATTTCTACTGTTGCAGGCTTTGCGATGTTATTCACACCGAGCGCCGTCTGACGTTAGTGTTCGAGTTTTTAGATCAAGACTTGAAGAAACTTCTGGATGGTTGTGAAGGCGGTTTGGATCCAGTAACGACGAAAGTAGGAATCCTGTATTCTTCCATTTTTGACTTTTCTTCTTTTCATTTCAGTCATTCCTCTATCAACTTCTTCATGGTGTCGCGTATTGCCACCAGCATCGAGTTCTCCATCGTGACCTCAAACCCCAGAATCTTCTCATTAATCGGGGTATTTAAAATATTCATCATAATTCTACTGAATGATGCTTCTACTGTGCGAATGATGATCCTTAACAATTAATCTTTCTTCCCTTTAGGAAGGCTATTTGAAACTCGGTGACTTCGGTCTTGCGCGGGCGTTCGGAATTCCTGTTCGGTCGTATACGCACGAAGTAGTCACTTTGTGGTATCGCGCACCAGATGTATTGATGGGCTCGAAGAAGTACTCTACTCCTGTCGATGTCTGGAGTGTTGGATGTATATTCGCAGGCAAGTTTCACTATGGAGTGGCTCAAGTAATTTTGTCGTGAACAGAAATGTCAAACGGACGCCCGCTCTTTCCCGGTTTGTCTGACGAAGACCAATTATTGCGTATTTTCAAGCTGCTTGGAACGCCAGATCCTGCTTCTTGGCCCCAACTGGTTGAGCTGCCGGAGTATAAAGCAGACTTTCCTGTTTACGAACCTCAAGCTTGGACGAACATCGTTCCCAATCTTGAACCAGAGGGAGTCGATCTGCTTTCCAAAATGCTGCGTTTCGACCCATCACAACGAATTTCGGCACGTCAGGCGATGGAACATCCCTATTTTCAGTGAGTAATCCAAACTCGTTCCTGATGGCAGTTTTTCCTTTCAGCGATCTGAGCGATGTCGTTAAATATATGAAATAGGATTTTATAATGCAAAAAATAGAACAATTTCTTTGAATGTGTGCCGATGTTTCTATGCTGTCTTTTATTGACTCCCGTGTTTACCTTTATTTGTCTATCTAGAGCAGTAATAACCACAACTCCTCAAATCTGCGCAGCGCCCTCAGTTGGAATAGAATTCAATTCCATTAATTCATAATCAAATCATGATATTTCTTTAGAAGAATTCTATACGGTTTGGAACTTCTGTTTAGCGTTTTCGATAAAGTCCCATTTGCCTGCCTTATTTTTGTTTAGACGCGATATACAGATGTCTGATGATGGGAGTCGTTATGTACTTGTTGGAGATTCATGCAGACTTTGGGACTACCCATGGAACAGAAAACTTCAGGGACACACGGGACTACGACTAACATTTATCAACCACTAGGATGATCGTAAGGGACGAAAGAATGCATTTCTGGATGATCTGCTTGAAGATCCACCCCAAACTATACTTTATGGATTTAATCCTCAACTCAACGGTAATACGCTTCCTTCCCTCTTTCACCGGCTAAACGATCTTGCTGGATCATCGTGTCGAGTTCACCTGGTGGTCAACGTCGAGCAGATCCAAACCATAAGAGGCGATTGAGGCAGATTCAATTCTATCTTTTACTTCTACCAGAGTCATTGGCATTAGTGTTTCTACGAGAAGAAGCTCCTTCATGGTTAAAGTTGAAATAGATGTTTGCAATACTGAAACCATTCAATTCCATGCGCTGGTTTGATTCGGGAAAACTTCAATGAGTAAAATTAATGTGGTTGTTGTGAGCGTTCTATCAACTTCATGCTTTGCGTTCTCAGGTGTTTTTTTGTCTGTTGCCTGACAACAAAATCTTTAATGAGATGCAGTTCGTCGATGACCATCCTTGTAGTCCGCAGTAAGGATCCGTCCAAATACGAAGAAATTGAGATTGCTGATTGTGGAAGAAGGGATCTTTTGGTTGCAGGGATTGTTCAAATGATCTTATTTATGGGTCGTCTAGTTAGAGGCTGTCACTTCGTTGCGAAAAGTGAGACTGTTTGCTACAGCCCCACCTGAAATGGAGCGGGTAATCCGTTGGAGAAAACAATCTTACCCTTCGTTGTGCGGCGGCATATCCTTGCTGTGCCGAGGAGGCAATCTGAGAGCCAAAGTGAGACAAGCTGCTTCCAACGTTTCTAGCCCCTTCACTGTTAATTATCGTGTTCCATCCAGACGTGATCGAATCAACTGAAGTAGAAAAATATCGATTCAAGTGACACAAGAGGTTGCCCCACCGGCCCCCCCAGTCGCTGGTGTCGTTGGCATCGCGACAGGAGT